TAAACCCTAAACCCTAGACCCAGAACTTGCAGGCAGCGGAACACGTCGGCCTGCACGACTCTGCCAGCAGCGCCAACTCCGCCCTGATCAAGACTGGCCCTGTCCAGATCCATGTGTAAGGCCCTAGAGCCGAAGCGCTCGAGCCCCAGGGGCACATCCTGGGTTTAGGGTTTAGGGTTTAGGGTTTAGGGTTTAGGGTTTAGGGTTTAGGGGTTCTGCCAAGGAACTTAAGCTAAGTTGCTATAGTAAGGAGACCCGGCCATGTACCATGGATCCCCACTATGGTAACCTAAATAAATGAAGTTCCCTAAAAAGCAACCCAGCATCCACGGCGTAGGTGTAATGCCAGAAGTCGGTGGGCGAGATCTGAGTGCCAAGGAAGATCAAGGCGTCCGCACGATCTAGCAGATAGTCTCTTGCTGCAGGCAGGTGCAGTCGAGCACCAACTGCTAAACCATGGCGCTCATCAATGCAACCTTTGCCCGCGACTGTTGTTAGGACTGGGGCACCTAAAGCCGTGGCAAACTCAAGAAGCTGAGAAGACGCGTGGACCGAGCCACCGCCAGCAAGGATCAGCGGTCGCTCACACAAAGCAAGGTCGCTAGCAAAGCTCTTCAATGTGGCCTGCGCCCTCTGATCCAAGGACGCTTCCGATGGGAACTGCTGCGTTGTAGCCGAAGTGTCTTTCCCTCCAGTGACTGAGTTCAGAATGTCAACTGGGATGTTGATGTGGACGGGACCAGGACGGCCAGATCTCGCCAATGACGCTGCCGAGGAGACGGCCGTCTCGATTTCATCCACACTGCCAATTTCAAAGCACTCTTTTGCAACCGACGCCGCAATCTTGCTGACATGTGGAACGAAATGGCTAAACTGGCGTCCAGGCCGCTCAGCCCAAAACCGAGGCACCTCTGTAGTTACAACGAGCATGGGAACGGAGTCTGCCAGGGCAACGGCCATTGGAGTGACCACATTGGTGAAGCCCACGCCCGTCGTTGCCATAGCCACGGCCAGATCTCCTGTTGCCCGGGCGTGGCCGTCTGCGGCGAAACCGCAAGCTTGCTCGTGACGCATAGTTACATGCTGGATGTCTTTCCGACCCTCCAGCACGCGGTAGATGGAAGCCAGGTGTGTGGCTGGAATGCCGAAGACTTTGCGGACATCGGCAGCCACTAGGCTTTCAACCACAAGCCGTCCTCCGGTGATACCAGCAGCACCTCTGGAAGCACCCCGTGCGGCGCATGCTCGACGACAAGCTTCCATGGCACATAAACGAATACGCATCATTTGCACAATGGCTTTTGCATGTTTAGAGACATGTATCTGAATGCGCGATACCAGCACAGTATCTCCGGTAAAACATCACAAACAAGAAACTGAGCAAAAATGGCCGTCGACAAACCAAGCAGCGCTGTGTCAACTCAAACGTCAGTGACATGCACTGCGAAATGTGAAGCTGAGCTCATGTTAGAATGTATCTGTTCATTGCGGACAAACATTTGTTCGTGCGGGCTGTCCTGCTGCAATGTCATGGCCCAGATTTGTTCCAGAATGATTTGGGGTTTAATGTAGGGGCTTTAATAATTAGAATAGGGTTTTGGGGTACAAGGAACCCCCAAAATAGTAGGCAATTATACAGGCCCCTATATTACTGCCCTGTCAAGCCGGCATGCAGCCAAGACAGTTATAATCCTCTGCTGTCTGCAACGCATGGGGGCGGAACCTGATTCGTCATATGGCAGCCCATGATGCCAACCCTCAGTGTGAGCCTGGAAAAGTCAACATGCTGCTCCCTCTCTGCTACCCAAACGGCAAACGCAAGGCTCGGCTCTGAATGTTGGTTCGGACGACTGTCGCTATAGTGCTGCTGCTACCAGTGGCCAGCAATGCAACTCCCGAAAACTACCGATAGCTTTGCATTGCGAGCGAAAGGACTTCAAGGCAACCGGACACGGCACTGAATGGAGTCGCGTCATGTCGTGTCAGCCCAAACCCTCTCCAAGATGAGCCAATCTCGGAGTGCAAGCTGTTTGGGCATCAGAGGCCAGTCACAGGTCCATGTTGACGCGTGGTCGAAGAGCTATATCGCAAACGCCACGAATTCGACATGGTGTCTAGGTCTTCTTGCGCGCCCCACGCACGCTGTGTGGAAAAACAAGATGTGAAAAGAAAATGCAAGATGCGAACTCATCCAACCGAACTTTCCATGGCTACCTTTTGCGTGCCTGGTGAATTTCATGCGGGCCTTTGAACCCACAAAATAAGTACAGACAACTTTTCCCAGAATCGTCGCGGTCAAATTCGAGCAGAAGGCACGAACCTGGCAAAGATCTCAAGCGAAAATCCGAACGTCTGAACTTAGTGTGGCTTTGGTTCATCTTCCAAGCCGTCGATCGCATGTGCTTGGTCGGTTTGCAAATTTTTTTGGATCTGAGATTGAAAGCTTTGGTCTGAGAAGATGGGCTTACTTAGGGACTTCTAAGCAATGCAACTGAGGCACTGTGTTTCGGAGGCGGAAATGAGCCTTAATGCCTCATCCATCAGGCCAGCTGAAATGTTGCAGAGCAAAGACACAACCTCGAAAAAACCTCGATACTATCCGTTTTAAACGCCAAAAATCACCGTTCGTAAACCCACAAAGTCTCGCTTGCTCTGTTCCTGGAGTCACGCAGAGGCTGTGTCACACAGAGCACACATGCAAAGTGCCGCCTTTTCCGGGCATTGACGCGGGGTAGATGCTTTCTTGTGGTTTGTGCTTCTCGTGAGGTCCCACCTTTCGCGCCCTTGCAAAGTACACCATGAGCTTGAAAGTGGGCGATGAAATTTTCAGTCCGAGGGTCCTGGTCTTTCTTCCAAGCTTTACCTGAGAAAAGGAAGACGTCAAAAGCCAGCACTTTTGGTTGATCATGTGCGCAAGCTCGAAGCTATTGCTACGGGTTCCATCGAGATGGAGCCACCTGATCATGGCGTCTTTTTGTGCCCGGGCCAGGCATGCTGATGCATAGGCGGCAGGCAATATTTTGCGACTTGAGTGAAACTCTTGAAGGGGAAGTTGCTTGGGACCTCCTTGGTTCGAGTTTTGCAAGGTCCACGGCCCACCGTTGGGAGCCGGGAAGCCTCTTTTGCCTTGCTCAGTGACGGGGAGGTGGGCAAGCGGCTCGTGGGGCTGAAACAATGTGTGCATTTGTGAGGAAAAAAAAGAGTGAAACACGCGGTCACGGTAGACCTGTTCAGAATGTTGCGGGAAGCAGACTTTGTGGGCAAGAGTCAACTAGCCCCCAAACCCTGGCCACTGCTCCATGCATGGTGGCGTACTCCGCAGGGGCGGGTTGGGGGTTGGGGTTGAACCCAGGTTGTAACCCCGGGGCCGGCTCCATGGGCGGGGGTCCAACAACCTGAATCTGAGGTTGTGGGTTCGGGTTAACTCCAACCCTAACCTCACGTTCGGGCTGAGGTTCAACCCTAACCTCAACCCCAGGTTCTGGGTTCGGGTTTTACCCCAACCTTAACCCGGAGTTAGGGGTTAACCCACCCTAACCCCAACTCGCTTCGCAGGTCAAGGTTGGGGTTAACCCGAACCCCAACCCCGGTCCGCAGGTTAGGGTTGGAGTTAACCGGAACACTTACCCCAACCACGGGTCCGCGGGCTGGAGTGGAACCCGAACCTCAACCTCGGCCTGCAAGACCTGCAAGCTTCCAGACGCACCGCCACGCTTTTTTCTTGCATGTGCAGCACCTAGATCGCCCTCGCAAGTTTTGGATTGATAGTCTATCCTTTAGTTTCCCGTTGCAAGGCTCAGAATGGGACCTTGGCTCTCGCAACTTTCCCCTCGTTTGGCAGGTCGACGTGCACGCAATGAACTGCTAGTTTCTGGCAGAGATGAATGTACGATGATTCTGGCTGGGTCGCACTGTGTAGGAGAAGCGAATCTAAGCGCCTTGCAAGTGTGCTGCGCGCAGGCTGTACTGGCACTTAATCGTCTTCTACAGCAGACGCAAAGCTCGGTCAGATCAAGAATCATCGCGACCAGTGGATGCAACTTCAAATGTTGCTGGAAACGCACTACACTTCGAGCATAGAAGACTCCGTGCCTCTTATCATCTTAACAAATTCCTATCCAGCTGCTCAAAGACCAAACCCCTTCCAAAGCTTGCATCGCAAATGCTTTCGTACCTTAAGCAACATAACTTAGCCAACGCAATTCTCAGCATCTGTCTTTCTAAGCAGAGGAACCGCTCAGTGTCGAGCTCTGTACTTGCGGAGTTTATCTACATCGAGCTTGCACCGCATTGCGAACCTTCTGCCTTTCACAGTGAGACAGTTTTCGTCAAGTCTTGCACTGTTCAGGATGGTGTACCCACGGGAGCCTTTGAACCACTTCCCTCCAGTTCCACCAGTGAGTGCAGACGCAATCATCACTCGACTTTCCGAAGACTGAAGCCCTGCATCGCTCGAGCACTGTAGGGGACACTGGCTCGCGGCAGAATCCAACTTCAAATTGCACAGCTCGTCCAAGATAAGATTGACAAAGACTTGTCAAAACGATGGTGACGGTGCACCGACAAAGGGAAGGGGTAGCTGAGTCGCGAGTGAGCGAGTGGAGAAGCGACGAAGCGACGACGACAGAACGACTATGACGACGACGCGACGACGACGACTGCGCGACGACGACGATGGCGACGCAGAGCCGAGTGCCCAAAATGTTAGCTCTAACAGTGAGAACAGAGCTAGGATAGAGGTGAGAATGGAGTGAGACGAAGCGGCGACGACACGGCGCGGCGGCGACGCCACGATGACGCGACGATCACGGCGCAGCGATGACGATACGACGACGCAACAGGAAATGGAGGTTGTGTGGGTCTTTGGTGAAGTAAAACTGGAGTTTCAAGAGGTGCAGAGAATGAGGACACGTGGAAGCTCCAGCAAGAGCACCCGCAGTGAGAGCACATGTGAAAGCGAGAACTCGTCGTTGCACTCTTCGTCGTCGCGCAAAACAAATTTTTGCAATGAAGTGCCGGTCATCTGTCATGTCTTCACTCCAAGTCAAAATCCACAGCCTTGCACACGCAGCATGCTCTTACCAGACGTCTTTGCCCTCAGTGTCTCTGCTAGATGTTTTGACCAACTGCTTTGCCTCCACCAGCAGTGCTCTCAAGTGTTCTCACTTCATCTTTAAGCAGCCCAAAGACTCCGGATGCGTCGAATCAAAAAAAGTGTTCTAGCTTCTGTTTTCTTGTCTCCGCTGCATTGGTGCCCATTTGGCGTCCTAAAATAGGAATGTGGGATCCTTGTCCTGTGAGCAGCAAATCATAAAAAACGCCAATACCCTCCTATGACCAACTGCGAGCCCAAGCACACCTTGAAATGTGATCCTTGTGGTCCTATTGGAAGACAAGAGCCCAGGTTTGTCTTGCTACCCATGGTTCACACAACAAAAAGAACAACTCAATAATTAAATTGAAATGCACTCCCTCTCTCTGGGGGGGGGTGTTGTCAGCTCCCACTCTGTGATAGCTACAGGCCCATGTTCGAGACATAGGTCAGAATTCGTTACTTTTGAGCACTGACGATCTGCGGG